ATATATATATATATACACACACACACACATGCATACATATATATACGTACAAAGCTAATGGTATTTCATCCAGAGCTAATTCAATTAAATTCAAAAATACTTTATTAATCCCAAAGAGAAATTAAATGTTGTAACTCATCATCTTCGTTTCATTAAGAGATGTTATAGATGCTGATGGCTGTAGGCAAGAAGGATCTTTTGTAAAGGTCCGCCCCAAAATGGATCTGAAGAAACTGGCTGCAGATGCCATCCAATCTGTCCACCCAGACTCGGCTGGCCTCTCGGTTCCTCCGAGCTGCAGGATCTCTCGAATGTTGGGAGGAATGATGACGACCCCAGAGCGATGGCCACTCCTCCCAGCAGCCTGCTGAGCTCCTTGTCGCTGCAGACAGCGGGCTGCAGGTGTCGGGGGACGAGCCCAATCTTTCTGGTGTCACAAGACATGTTTCTTGCTAGTTCCAGGATTTCAGTGGTTTGGCACTCGAGCATAGCTGGCAGGGAGATGGGAATGCATCCACGGCACCTCCTTTTCAACTCATTTGAGATTTGGCGCTGTAGCTGAGATATCATTTGCGCTTTTCAGATGTTAATCAGCTGCTCCTGATTGTAGAAAACCACCTTATTTTTATGGTTACGCATCATAACAAATGTCCAAAGTAAAAAAAAGTTTCAGTAAAAATCCTTCCAGCTGCACAGCATCTGATATCAGAGGAAATAATCATCCAAAAAATGTGACTTACATCCAGCAAAAGAGGAAGTAAAGTTTCCAAAAGTAAAATCTCAGAATGAATGTAACAGAGCTACTCCAACATGCAGCCACCCCAAATGGCGCAATTCAAAATATATGAAATATATACTCATATAATATATATTACGTTAGCTCCAGACCAAATTGCGTAAGCTCCTGAGCTAATTTATTTATTTGCTTCAGAGCTATATATTTATAACATTAGTTCTAGGCCAGGGCAATTCAACTAAATCCCTCAGGGGGTCACAGTTACCGAAAGCCATGAACTCAGGGGCTGAACATCCAGCAGTCATTATCATTAAGTAAGTTTGTTTTACGGTTTAAAATCTAGTTTTATTTAAATATAAACCTATTGGTAGGCCGAACTGAGCTCACCCGTGGGCCTGATTTGGATCTTGGGCAGCCAGTTGAATAGCCCTGATCTAGACTAATAGTGATAGCTCCAGTGCTAATAAACTAAACATCAAAAGTTGATCATGTTTGATCGTTTCCACTCATATAGTGCATAAGGACTAAAACAAAATATAACTTTATTGTCAATATCGATACTAACGTTAGTATTGATCGATATCTGTGGAAAACTATTGATGCTGTAGTTTCACATTTCCAGTATAGTCTGCTGTGGTTTCTCCTGTACTGCTTCCATGTGCCTCTCTTCTCACTGTAAACCTTTGTGTGCAGGGTTCCAACCACGGAGCCTAGGACTAGTACCTGGCCTTGGACTATTAGGAACCATATACAAAGAATAAAAAGGTTTTTTTTTCCATTTCTATTTCTGTTAGTCTGCATGGTATTTTATTTTGAGAATCAATCAATTCCGTCCTGCACAATATTAGTGCTTGCTTCACTCAGTTGCTGTATTTTTTTCTTGTATTAGTAAGCTCTCAAACTAACTTAGGCAAAAATTAATAAAAAACGTAGCTGGAGAGCTTTTTGAAAAAAGGTCTAATGATGAGACAAAAGGCTCCACCACTGCAGTGTTTCCCCTACTGTTATACAAGCAGGGTGCCCCACCCTGTCAACAGAACAGAGCACCCTGCCTACCGAACTGCACCCAACCACCCACCCCCCGACATTTGCTGGCAATGATGTATCGCTAAGCTAGTAGCGTGCAATACAAACGCGCTAGCTAAAAAGCTACATAGATAGCACTGTTTCTTTCAGGCAGTCTACCTCCCACCTCCACCACTGCTCTAAAACTGTTGGTCCAAACAGCGCGTAACACAGACATGTCTCTCCCTACACACCCCACACCCCCTCGACAAAAGTCACGGAAGATATGAGCGCCCTGCCAAGGCAAGGAAACGAGGGGAAACACTGGTCAAGTTATAACTTTTTATCTTGACAATTTGTGTTTTAGGCTCCTCAAAAACATCTGTATGTCATTGTCCCAGGATGCATGGCGCTGGTCAGGGGCGGGCTGGCCTTAGGGAGGTTCGAGAGGATTTTCTAACAGCTGGTCAGTTCCAGGCCAAACCGGCCGGTAGTGATTGGTACTTTTTTCTTTTCTTTAAAAACTCTGCTGCGCCCTCGTGTCCACAGGTGTCAATCAAACGTCACATGCAAACAGCCCCTCCCAATTTGAAAAAGAAAAAGCAAGAAGGGAGAGTGGGCCGCTAACATGTTAAAAAGAAAGGAGAAAAAGATGGGTGGAGCAGAAAGACTAAGGAAAAAGAAAAGGAAAAGTTAGTGCAGGATGCAACCAAATATGTTAAAATAGCAGAAATTTTCATGCTTGGGGGGGGGGGGGGGGGGGGTCACGTGACTAAAGTCAGCCAGGACAGTAGGACAGTGATAACACAGGATCGAGCAGCATGAAGACAGCAAGCAGTGCCTACATGGACCTATCATCATCCCAGTGTTGGCATGCAGTGTATTTGGGTTTGTGGATGTGTTCTGGACACACAGAACATTAAAGGAAGCCTGTCAGTATTGTTGCACCATAAGAACATAAAGCTTTCATCTGCTTCATCAACTAAAATTAAAATCAATCCATACTGACTGACCAGAAAAAGGCACGTTTCTTTATTGCAAAAGAAAACATATTTCAGGAAAGAGTCCATTTTCCTATATAGAGCTATTTTTATCAGCTCAAGAAAAATACATTGCAGTGACTAATTAATTTACTGTGTGTGTGTGTAGCACTTTTCTTATGTTGTATTTGTGTTATAAAACTTGTTGCTGTTATTGTCATTACTAGCTGAAAAGACCAGTGTCAGTGGAGTTGATGCAGAGGGACAGGATATTGCCAGTCATAGGAGTGAGGAGGAAGGGACAGATGAGGACGGAGAGGAGAAGGAGGTGGAGATGGAAGAGGAGGAGAGAAAGAGGCCCTGATGACTTCAGACAACAACACAGTTATAGACAGAGTTGCAGAGATCAGTGTACTGCTCAAGTTGTTAATGATGTAAGTTCTGACAGTTTCCTTTTGTTTGGGAGAATTATGATGTTATAAGTCTGTTTACCTTTGAAAGTTGTTTGTTGTTCCTTAATATTTGCTTTGATTTTTATAATAAGCTGCTTGTTTAATAAACTTTTATAAAATGATTTGTATTTTTTTATTTGGATAATTGAATACATACAAACATAAACAGTAGTTTTGATTATTCTGATGCATGATCAATAATCCAGATAGAAGAATGTACTGTACATGTTCCACGTGCATCTGTCATGGGATCAGATGAAAGTTAAGTCAGGTCCTCTGGATGGATATAAAAAAAACCAAAACAAAAAAAAAACTTATTGACATGTTTCCTCTTTAAATCGAAAAGACTTCATCAGTAATCAGAAGTTTTGACTGTTGAAAAAAAAAACCTGTTTTTATGCTGAAAATAAAGTATTCATGTTAAATTCACTCATTTATTCATGAATCAGGATATTCATGTTAAAGTTCTGGTTCCATGAGCATCTGTTGTAGGATCGGATAAAAGGCCTCTCCAAAACTCCCGGGCTGAATTTCAACCCGGCCTGGTGCTGGTAAAATAATGACAATGTTTTTAGATGAAAAATGTAATAAACAAATGCAATTCTTTTAAGTACTTAGTTTTCACGAGTCACAAACAACAACAACGTTTAGTAGAAAAGAGAAATAATAACATATTAGAGCTAATATGTGCAAATACTCAAAGATCCTGTTACATTAAAAAAACTGTTTATGTCGCACATTTTCTTAAAATTTGGAGTAAAGTTAAAACTTCATTAATGTAATGAATCGGTGTAATTCATTTACCTAACATTTTCAGTCAAGTTTTATGTCTATTTAAATCCTCAATTTTTTCCTCTGTTAATTCTGTTTGTTTTCCTATGAAGAATACACTTATGCTCCTCAACAACTACATGCTTCACTATGCTAAATTTATCTCTTAGTTGCTAAGGTATTTGTACAATGAGTCTTTCAACAAATGCCTGCAGAAGTCAAAGATGATGCCGACAGTACACTGAAAACAAACCCATTTAAATCGGAGAGTGGGATTTAAAACCTTAGGCCGTCATTCCGACAGGAACAGCACAGTGGTCATTTTCAATAGGCTTATTCAGCATTCATCATATTAAAGCATTTCTTGATATAGTCCAAAACATCAAAATAGCACAATTTAAACTTGAAAAGGTCTTACCAAAGTCTATGGAGGATGACATCCAGCCGATCTCAGGCAGGGAGACAAAAGCCAGCAAACCGAAGCCCACAAAGGAGCCAATCCCTGAGAAGAAGAAAAAGAGCCCCATGATGGCGCTCTGCATGGTCTTGGGGGCTGCAGAATAGGCAAACTCAAGACCTGCAAAAAGTAAAAATAAAAAACAAAAACACATAAAATAGTTGTGAAATTTTTAATGAAGAAAATGTGGAAATATTTTAAAGTGTCTATGGGGAAAGCTGTGATACTAATGTAATTAGTAATATACTTCTACATATGTTTTACTGATTGCACTGTTAAATTAGTATTTGTTTCAGTGGGACAGGGTAAGACAATGCACTGCAATTTAGTATCAGTCTTCATCCATCTTTTTGTAACATAATAGATTTATCTAACAGAGACAAATCCATTAATGTGTACAGGTTGAGGGAAAAGAAAAGGACTTCCTTAGCTGGTAATTTCCTGTGGCGGGACCATAGAGTTCTCTAAAACCACTAGACTGCACACCGCCCATTGGTTACACATGTGCCATCATGGAGAAGCTAAGATGTCATCCAAAACTGGCTACTCCTCACAGCCGACACCTGCCAACTGTTTAACAGAAAACCCTGCTGGTTCTGTGTCAAAAATTATTAATAACTATTATAACTTAATGTAATTGATATTTAATGTTTATTTATATTGCAATCATGTAAAACTGATATATGTATAAGGGAAATATATTTGGTATAACTAATGATGATCTAAACTAGACCCAAAGTCAGTGAATTATTAATAAATGATGCAATGATTCAAAGCTTTTTAGCTGGTTTAATAATTATGACTTGAACTAGTTGATGAATTTGAAGCAAACTTTTTTTATTGTGTAAATTTTGTAAATGCAGGCTAATTGCAGTGATCAGTGTCTAATGTATAGTTAAAACATATATTTTCAGAATTCATGCAAAGAGAGCAGATAATATATCCTGATGCATGCTCAATAATCCAGGTAGAAAAATCTAAAAAAGTTAAATCTGGTCCTCTGGACATTCAAAAAAACAAAACAAAGCAAATCAACAAAAAAATGTAGAAACGTTTCGTCTCATCCGAGAGACTTCCTCAGTCTGAGGAGCTGTTTTCAGCTCAGTCTCTTAAATAGCACCGTCTCAGAGTGGATCAACCAGTTTTGCTGCTGACTTTGATCAGCTGGTTTTGGTTGTCATATATATATATATATATATATATATATATATATATATTTTTTTTTTTTCCATAGTCAGCCCTTACTCTGCTATTTAGTCAAAATGCCAGGTGCAGACATTTGGTCTTTTTATTTTATTTTTTTTTTACTTGGTCATTTTATTAATGATGGATGTAACTGCAGTGACTCACAAGGTCACATGACCAGTGCACCCTCTAGTGTAGTGGGTGGGACGGACTGGAATCCAATCTATTTAGTTCATTTTACATACAGTAGTGCTTATTGTGTCATGACAGGTAAAAGTAGATAGATGTAAAATAAGCCAAGAGCCTGAGAAAAAATAAAAATCAGTTTTGGAGAAAAAAAAACAAATACAAATATCTTCTACCTAAAGTTAGGAGATAAGGACACATGAGGTTTTTACAGAGAGAATTACCTTTAATCACGAAATACATGTGTTTGTGTCCTAAGCTAACCTTTGAATAGAAACAAACCAGGGTTAATGTGTTTACTATGTCTGTCCCAGAGTGCAAAGATTGGTGAGAGGTTCCAGTGAACAGCTCAGCACTGCAACAAGACCATCACAAACTAGCACAGCAACATTATGCTAAACTCTGCCGTTTTCTGTCCGTGACAACATTCTGATATCAAAGTGATGCCTGTGGCTTTCAGTACAGAGAAAATGGACAACTACACCTTTCTGACCAAAAGGATTATTCAAGAGAAAAGCTACATCTAGAAGTTCATACAGTCACTATATTTATATCTTTTTACCTCCAACTCAGTTCTTACTTTACTTTTTGAAAACATATAGTCAACTTTTCTAATGCATTGCTTAATAAAATCATAAAGGGGAATAGTTTTGTTTAATTACTTAAAGGAAATAGACTGACTTGCTAAGGAAAGAAATCCCCGCTGCAAGACTGATGACTGCAGTATGGAAGTCAATGGCAGTGGGGGTTTTAAACAAATTTATTCAAAAAGAACACGGCAAAGGGGAAATATTCCTCTCCACCAGACAAATGTCATAAGTCTGTCAGCCAATTTTCTTTGAAGCAAGCCCTGTGGGATAGTATGGACTGAGAGCACATTTATTTTAAACACCCTCGAAGCTTTGCGAGTCGGGATTTGGCTTTCATACGGACCCTGTTCTATGAAAGATAATTTTAGTCTTTTCCAAGCAGCCTGAATAAAGGGATATCTAATGCTCAAAATTCAAGTTTTCAAGGATTTCAAATTAAAGAATGGTAAAATTTAATTTTCATATAAAAATAAAACATACCACGTAGGGACTAAAAAATTATTTGAATAATCTGAGGAAAAAAAACAACTAATATTTATGGCTCAGTATTCCCTCTTAGTTTAGAAAAAGAGCATGTGTCAGCATATGGAATTGCCCACATCATCAGGCTCCATTGTACAGTAGTCCCTCACCACTTCTCGGTTTGACTTAAACAGACTCGGTCTATCATGGTTTATGGATGTACAATTCATAATATTGCAGTGTACACACAAAAAAACAAACAAACAAAAAACACGCTGCCATTTTGTAGTTTTCTTTCATTAAGGGGCCGTTTACACGGCGCGTATTTTGAGTGCATCCGCTCCTTTCTCTCTGCGGATCTGCTGATCATTTACACGATACCAGTGGCCCCCCCTCTTTGAATCCGGAGGTTTCTGAACCCACCTTCCAGAGTGGAGGTTTTTCGCTGACCCCCCGCTGATGATGTAAACATCTCCCGCTGAGGCTTTGTGTTAAACCACATGTGCACACGCACGCGCGGACAGACGCTATATTTCTATCAACATGGCGGCGGATACACTGCTTTCAGAACCTCGACTGATGGAATATATTTTTAATCTCGTAGGTAATCTAGTTCAGATTCCAGGTGCTGTGACCAACATCTGTGTTGGAAGAGACACAATCTGATCCAGTTCTAATGTCGCTGTTTATAGAACGTGGCACGCGCACACGTCGCGCTGCACTATAACATAAATGTGCTAAATAATAACAGTTTAATAATATTAAACAGTATTTATGTTAGTGTGAGTGATATAATGAAGCTCTGAGCTAAATGAAGCTATCTGGACATTATGTAATTCAAATTTAAAATGATGCTTAACATGTAGCGTGAACACTAAAGGTGAAAATGAAGAAATCAGGTTTAATTTTTATTTATTTATTCAACACCACATACTGTATGTCACACAAACACTGATAATTATACTGAACACACTATTAAAACACATTAACTGAACTTGAATGGATTGAATAAAAGAAATGAGGGAAATTTAAAATAAATAGTTCATCCAACATCTCTCTTCAACGTCCTCCTGCCCTGCATATGGGCCGAGCCTTGGTCAGAACCGGTCCTCCTGGTGGGAGGACAGCTTCTTCTTCTTTCAGGAAAAATAAAAACTCAGTTGGTTGTTTTGTAACCAAAGTAAACACAAACTAACATTATTAAGAACGTTGATTTACCTGCTGTAAAACAGCTACTGATGATCACGGAGTAAAGTCCAACATTGACTCGGTTCTGGTCCACCCAGTGACCGGTGTGGAGCTGTTAGATGAAGCGATCCCGCTTGGCATCAAATCTGTCGACTCTTATCCAAAATCCAGCCAGAATCCAGCTTTAACTTGTTGTTACGTTACGTTGTTGTTAGCTGGTTAGCACAGAGGAAAACAACGTACCGAGGCAGCACGCATGCGCATTAGTGAAGGTACAAAATTCACAGTGCCATCTAATGGCCCGGCATGGTAACTACAGCGGATTCGGGAGGGCGGGGGGGAATCCTCCGGATGCATGTAAAGCCAAAATGCGACTGTGTCAACGCAAATCTTTTCCTCTAATTAACATATGAAAAAAACCTATGTTTCCCCCCATCGTGTCCATGTAAATAGGACCTAAGTATACACTGTTTTGCCAGTCTAAAGAACTGCATTACCCAAAAGCCATCAGTTCACTTCCCAGAAGTCACTGCTTCCAACCGCTGCGTTCTGAAAATGGAGGGAAAGTTTTGCAACTTAAAGTCAGAAGTTCTGTAAGGATAAGCTCACAGGACTGACAGGAAAGTATCAAATAATCCTGAAGTTGAACTCATTCTTCAAGTTGTATCTTCATTGCCGAGTAGGTGGGCTGCAGTTGGACTCAGTGTGACCCGGATCCTGGGGGCTGTAGAAAACAGACCGCAGTGGGGTTTGGTCTGGTTCTGGTCGCCCGGTGCTTGTCCAGACTGGGCCAGAGTGGAGGACTAAATCCTGGACAGCCTTGCACACGGGGCGTCCTTCCTGGAGTGGCAGCAAGCGCACATCAACCTGGATGGGGTGGTGGGTTTCGGTCATGCTGCACTGGGACTTTTTTCATCTCTCAGTTTGGACCGGAACCAAGCCGTTCCTGTTCTGTAGAGCCTGGTAGTAAAATTTAGTAGCTACATATAGAGTACTGTACGTATGTTGTTAAAATGATATCGGTTTAAGAGTTTAGAACACTGCAAGAGTGTGGGAAGGGTTCATAAAGTATTAAAATATATAAAATAAACATAATATTGCTAACGTTATATAACGTTGAAGAGGAAGAAAATACAGACAGAGACTATAAACAGCTGAACACCATGTAAAAAGTCAAAATCCTACTGCTGTCTGTGAGGATACAGAAGGAAGGAAAAGGCCTACAGCTAATAGAAAAGTTCACGAAATTTACCAGCAATCGTGTTTCTGAAAAGCACTAACTCTGCTAATCCAATGAAGAATTATATTTCCATTGTCCAATTTATTTATCAAATTGTGCATCTAAAATTACACATCTCTGTCAAGAAATCTTGCATTATGGTGTAGGGCTGGGCCATATTTCGTTCACGATAATACCGGTAAAAAAAAGCTTGCCTGGGCAAATAAATTATAGCATGATATGCTAATTTCATGACGTAATATGTCAAGCGCCCCACCCCGTTAACAGAA